TCAGCCCTCTAGCTGAAACACAAGGAGAGGCAGCGATGGGAATTGAACCGGGGACCTAGAGATCTCCACGGTTCAGCGCACACACAGTGGCTACCATCAGATTAGCCGACTGAGCTAAGCTGCTCTCTGAATAGACATAATCATTTGCTCTGTTAACCTGTTCCAGGACTAACTTATTCAATTCATTCATAGCGTCCATCTAGAAAGTCGTCTGTCGAAATCAAATCACTCAATGCGGAAAATCAGCGGTCAGGTGGATAAGCAACATTGGTCAAAACGGGAAATGGTAGACGGTATCGTAAGTAATAATCGGCGGTTAGATGGATAAGCAATGGTCAAATCGGGAAATCGGTAGACGGTATCGTAATCAGTGGGCGGAAGTAATAATCGGCGGTCAGATGGATAAGCAAATGTCAAAGCGGAAATCGGTAAATGGTATCGTATGGTAATCAGTGGGACAAAGTAGTAATCGGCGGTCAGATGGATAAGCAATGGTCAAATCGAAAATCGGTAAACGGTATCGTAATCAGTGGGCGAATGTAGTAGGCCTAATCGGCGGTCAGATGGATAAGCAATTGTCAAAGCGGGAAATCAGTAGACGGTATCAAAATCAAACGGTATGGTTGCAACGATCACGAATGAAGAAGTGAAACTAAACAGTTTACAAAGTCGTACACTTTGCTTCAAGTTTGCCTCATCAGATTAAATGATGGGGCGGGGCTTTGGCATTATTAACAAACTCAGATAATTTGGTTTTGCTTAAAATTTGACCTTTGAACTGTTTTGAACCACTGTGACTGTTTCATAAAAATTATGTTGTTAATTTTTATAATTTCCTTATTGAAATAAACTTTTAATGAAATTTTTTAAGACAAAACAATGTGGTAAATTTATTTCAACAATGCTGTTTAAAATATAATAGACCTAGGCCTACTTAAGAGAAAATTACATACAGTACACTACCAAATATCCTAACAAAATAGACATAGTATTTACATGAGGTAATTATCCAAACAGAGCAAAGTAGGTATCATGACGAGAAAGTATAGGCCTATTATTGAGATAAATCATTTTGGGACGCAGTAAACAAATTGTATATTGGAGCAAGTTATCAGTCTGAGAACCATGGTTCAAGTTAATAAAATAATCAATACCCAGTGTCTCAGAGATTTTTATTCTCAATTGGGTAGGCCTACAGGTAGTAGGCCTATTTTGATATATTTTTTTTTCTTCCAGAAAGGTGAATAAAAAACTTTAAATAACTTTACTAATTGCTATTATATATATATGACTGTTTTTAACTAAAGCATTCAAAATTATGTTTTAATATTTTAATATGCCTACAATAAAGTAATATTAACGCTGACATGTTATTATAATAATTTTTATATATTTATTTATTTTATTACATCACATCAATACCATGGTGAAAACGTGTGAGCAATCAAAATAAAAAATAAACATAAAAAAGACAGTTAAAAAGTTAACAACTGAATAGAATTATGTCATTACATAAAAAATATTAAAAAAATGCATTATGATAAGAATGAAGTCTGGCAATTAAATTCTGACTGAATGAATGCTGTTTCAAAAGAAGCCCATTCATCTTGATCAGGACGTGTACGTGATCTTCCTTCCAAGATTACTATTTCAAAATGAAGAGATGAATGTTAACTGAGAACATTTTTATTTTTGAATAAAAGTTCAAGTTACTTTAAATGAGACAAGTATAGGCCTACAGTACAGGTTTATCAGGAATCATTAACTGAGCGTCATGATGAATACGGGATTATAAAATAGTAACACAATTTTATAAAGTGTATACGACTGATATAAAATTCATGCTCTAGTACAATGAACCTCAAGATACTGTGTAGTATTGAAGTATTGAAATAAACAATTTTGAGACAGAGTAAACAAAATGTATATTGGAGCAAGTGCAGATCAGCGTGAGAACCATTGTTTATGTACAGAATAAAATAATCAATACTCAGCATCACGAAAACTGTTTATTACCAATGTGGTAAAAGTACCAAACGTGTACAAAAAACTTTCTCTAAAATAAAAATAGGCTCCCAACGGGAGCGTGTCTATGCCCTATACTGCCTGAAATTATTTTTACTAACAAAGTATCCACATTGGGATTTGGTTATCAGGGAAATGTGGTGTTGTTTTGGCACGGTCTAGCGATAAGATACTGAAGATGACACATGGCCACTTGACACAAGTTACTCTTACATCATCATTATTATTATCATTATTATTATTATTATTATTATTATTATTATTATTACGTTACTCTTACATTACTCATTAGCATAATACACCCCTGAGGGGGCATAGACACAAAAACTTTGTTCACTCAGTTGCTGAACTTTACTTTGCATTACTAGTGAAAACTAGGCCCCGACAGAAACAAAAGTAGTAGTTGCATTCATATCATTTTTTCCATGAATCGATGAACCCTATATAGGCCTAGCACCTGATGATTGAGGTACTCCTCATGAAACAGCCTGTAGTGCAGTAAAATGTTGAGTCTTTAACCCAGTGTCGGCTAGCAACTAGGGCTACAATACTTAATTTCTGATGCACAGAAATGGTATCGCGTGTTGTTTTTGCGGAGTAATATAATCCTACCGCATGTATGCAAAGCGACAGGCTGTCCTTTTTTCACAAGGGTTGTGCGTGCTTAAGTACAACTTTATTCTAATCAAATGCGTCATACCAAGAAGTGCCGCGGTTTGGCTTTATCTACAGGCACTGTAGTTGCGCCGTTTTATGCCAGATCAAGTACACACACTTGTATACATTTTCACAACTTGCATCAAGATTTTTTTTTGTAGTTATTTAAATTTTGCACTTATTTTATAAATGTCCACATCTCCAGCTGTAAAAATGATTTGTTAAAAATAAAATATAATTGAATAAATTTACTACTCAGTCTTGTTGATGCTTATATTTTCATGAACCGAAATATAAATGGTTTAGAAATAATAAAAGCTTCATTTTACATTTCACCTCAGCCTAAATTTGTTCTTTAATTTTGTTCGTAATTTTTAAGCAATTTTAGCCTCAGTGTTCTTATAAATGTGTTCTTGTAAAAAAAAAGTGTAACATTGAATTTAAAGTGAAAAAAGTTGCCACAAGTAGGCTCCCACGATAATCTTGGGAAAGCAGACACCAAGTCAGTTGTTATACCTTCTTGGTAACAATTGATTTTATTCGATTAACACAGCATTGTTTTCTTGTATATTATGAATTTGTTTACGTGTAAACTTATTTCAGACAATGGTTAAGATCAATTTCTGTTGTGTGAAAACAACAATGTTTTTTTAAGAAAAACTTTTACATAGCTAACATGCTTTGCTTTTCCTTGTTTATGTCATATTTGTTTTGTTTGTTTTGTTTTGTTTTTTAAAAATATACCCAGGCCTACTCGATTTGATCATAATATCACTCTCTCCATGGCATTCAAAGCAAGCTACTCTTCCGCGGTATCCTCGCGTAAAGTTTCAATTGTATTATACAGTACCAGTACGATTTGATCCTGAAATAGTATGATCCAACTCTAGTATAGTAACAATCAAACTACAGCGGTTTACCCGGTTGGTTTTAATATTATAATAATACACCAATGACTATTGCAATAAATAATAAATAAATAATATTGCACTAGTTTTCTGATATAATTAATGTAACATATGCAATGAAATAAAATGTATGTTCGGATTACCCAAGGTACGGTGTATTACATTATCTTAATCAAAACGAATATTTTTTCATGCTCTGGATGAGATTTTTATTAAGTTGCCTAAAAATATGCTATGTTTGATTTTAGGTTTTTATACTAAATTATTTCTTAGTTGTTTTAATAATTAATTATATTCTTGCTTTGGGCAATTTCGTAAATTAGTAAAACCAAATGGTAAAAAATTAAAATACACCAAATGTGTATGTGTGATACATCATTTTGAAGCTAATGAGTTATATTTTTGTGAAATAATAGGGGTCCCAAG